CAAAGGGGAAGGGGAAGTGGGAGGGGTAGGGGAAAGGAAAGAAGGGAATGGAATTAATATGAGAAAATGAAAAACTGGAAACAAAGTCTTTGCAAATAAGGAGGGATGGAGGGGTTGAAGGGAAGGCGGGGAAGGCGGGGGGGGGTGGGACAAGAACCAAGAGAGGTTATGTAAAGGAACAAATTACCAATGATGAATGTCATTATATTGTATACCTAAAATGTACCAATACATCTTTTTAAAAGATATTGTGACCAAAATTTCAAAATTGTATTTCATTACATTTTTTAGATACAAATGCAATTTACATATCCTCTCCCCTCCTGGCTGGAGATCTTGTGATGCGAAAAGCAAGGCCACTTTCCTGTTAGCTTCAGGAGCAGGTCCTTTGTGTTGCAGGTTCAAGCATGTGAGCTGAAGAAGGGGTGAGTCTGGAAGTGTAGTTCTAGCCATGAGAAGTAAACACAGCTGGGCATTATGACACACAGCCATGATCCCAGCATTCTGAGAGGCTGAGTTGGGAGGACTGCAAGTTTGAGCTCAGCACGGGCAACTTCGATTCTGTCTCAACACTGGGGGGTGGGGGGTGGGGCTGTGGCTCAGTGGGAAAGCCCTGGGTTCAATCTCTAATACCAAACTCTAATAAAAAAGACATACAAGCAGCGACAATACAAGACTTGTACTGCCTGGGGAGTGGTACTTAGGAAGCAAGGGGCTTCCAGCTCCCTCTGCAAACAGCCACAGCCACAGCCACAGCCACGCTAAACCCACACAGCACAGAAGGGTAAACGGCTCCTCACCGTGCCACTCCACCATAGTCCAAACCTTCCTCCCCTCGGAACTTCACCATCAGCCGCTTCTTCAGGTCTTTTGGTCGCATCTTCATAATCTGACGGTATGACTCCTACATATCAAAATGACATCATCAGGGCCCAGGTTTTAGCTCAGTGGTTCTGCCACCTGCCTTGCAGGCGCAAGGTCCTGAGTTCAATCCCCGATACCAAAAATAAATAAATAAATAAAAAATAAAAAACAAATGCTTTCAAGCTACTGGGTTTAGGCTTAGTTTATATAAAAAAAAATGACATCAGAGAGAAGGATTCTTTTTATTCTTTAACTTATAAAAAGATTAAAGGATACTGATAATAGGCTGATTAAAAATAAGCATCTATTCAAACGCAAATTTCATGTGGCTCCTACTCCAGCTCGACCCCTGCATCTACTACATTCCGTCCTGTTTTCTCCTGTAACTTCTCCTTCAGAGATAACAGGAAGACAAGTGCAAGCCAGGTCATGCTAATCTGGAAGGAAACATGTAACTATGTGTTCAGCACAATCATGAAGAACTTAAGGACACATGTCTTCCTTTGGGTTGATTTTCTCTCTACAAATTAACTTTAATATGCCCTATAAACAATTTTTGTATTTTAACCAAAATGAAGACATCATTAGAATCTGGGCGTTTAAAGAATTCTGAGCCTGTTTTAATAGCTGAATAGAAAAATCACACCTAATTTTCCACTGAGTCAAAAAGCAAAAGAGGGGCCGGGGATGTAGCTCAGTGGTTCTGGCGCCTGTCTTGCAAGAGCAAGGTCCCAAGTTCAATCCCCTGTACGAAAAAAAAAAAAAAGGGGGGGGTCTAAGTGAGATATTAAGTCGCTTGGGCAAAGCACAGGAAACAGGTGGTCGGCCTGGCATTCCCTCAGACTGGGCAGTCCAGGTGGCAGGAGCTGTTTGTAGTTATTTCCACCGATGGGACACTCAAGAACCCTTTCATGGCCAGGCATCGAGGTGCACACTTATAATCTCAGCACTTGGGAAACTGAGGCAAGAGCATCACCATGTGTCCGAGGCTTGCTCACAGTGAGTTCAGAGCCAGCCTGAACTACATAGTGAGACCCTGTCTCCAAAAAAAGAGAATCTTTTAATGTTTCAAAGTTAATGCAGTTCAAACTCTCTCATCCCAGACAAGAATAGGAATGCTAGTGGAACTGATCTGGCAGCAACAATTCAAGTCTTTTCCACCTTTGCCAACTGTTAAAGACTGCTTAGTGGGCAAACCGAGGAACTGCAGACCACCCCACCCACCAAGGGCTGCTATGCCCACACAGCTGGGCTGCCTCCGTCTGTGCTGCCGTGGGAAGGGGCTCAGCACCCTGTGTGGTGGCCTCGCCCTAGGACAGCCCTCAGGTGCCACAGCTCTTTGCCTCCTGGGGGTACCTTTGGTATGATTTTTTCCCCTCCAGGTACTAGACATTAAACCCAGGGCCTCTGCACTGAAATAGATCCCGAATCCATTTTTAGTTTTAAATTTTGAGTCAGGGTCTTGCTAAGTCACTGGATTGCCCTGGCTGGGCTCAACCTGCAATCCTCCTGGTCAGCTTTCCAGAGTGCTAGGATTATACTCAGCCTCACACGGCACCTTCTGCAAATGTCTCCACGTGAGAGGGTGGGACGCGGCCCAAAGGCCTCTGACCTGTCACCTTGCCATCCTCTTTCTTGAGTGAAGGGTTCAGTCCATGCAGAGACCCCAGTCCTGGGGGTCAGCTGCATTAGGGACCAGGCCCTCCCTGGATCTGCTCTCCCTACTCCCAGCGGAGACCAGAGGCTATGTAGCCACTGGCTTCTCTGAGAATGAAGTGCCTCTGAGGAAACGCCATGCAGATATCTCCCCACAGGAGGGGTACACAGGTCTGAGGAACACCCAATCTGCACAACATAGAGACAGTACCAGTTCCTGCCCAAATCTTTAGGTTTTCATTTCAGTCACTGTCTAGTTTTTAAACTGTTGGCATAAGAGGAAATATAGTTCCTTGTCTCTACTTGAGCCTTGGTCATGAGAAACCTGCATTTCCCAGAGCCATACTGAGTCCACACCCAGAATATCCATTAACACCTGCAGGAGACAGGGCTCAGCAGAGAACAAAACACCCCCAGGGCAGGACATTTAACAACAAAGGAGCCCATAGTCATCCTGGCTGTTTATCCACAGGGCTGAAGAGTCTAACCTGACTGACACACTTATACCTCAAATATTTCTTCTCTGGAAACTTCGATGCGGCAATGCCCAGCCTGGGGTTGCTGAAGTGACAGTTCATGTCTGAGGACTTTCAGTTTCTGGACCAAATCTCTTTCATATCTCTGGGCAGGGAGCTCTTCATCTTCCACAGAGCCTTCACTGGGCAGGGGCAGTGGCTGGCTGGGCTCCTTGAGTTGGCACTGGTGACTAGTGAAGAGGAGAAATAGCCAAGTCACTCCGTGTATGCACAGGCCAACGAGCAGTAAGCAGAGCCCACTTGCAACAGTGGCTCAGAAGAGAGCTCTCTCACTGCCCCAGTAACTGTACATAGACAGGTAACAGTCATCGATGGTGGCCATCAGCCCAGATGTAGGTCTAGGGCACACTAAAGTCTAGGGCTCCAATTCTAGGCCACCACCTGTCTCATACATCACAAATAAAACAGAAATTGCTATCAGTTACTGAGCATTTATCACACACGACTGAGAAGCATACTATCAAATGTGCCTCGGTGGTCACAATAAAATGGAGTTGATGGGAAATCTTTTTTTCTGTAGTGGAAGGAGGTGATACAACAAAGCCAACACCTCGAGTGAAATCTGGTGGCAACCATTCCTTATTTTGGTCACCAAGAGACTCCTAAGCCCACTCATTAAATGCAAAATTTCAGTACAATAAAAGGACTAGGACCAGTACAAAGACAAAGTGGCATTTACCTTGTTCAAGTTTGCCACTAATATCAGCTACCTCTTAGACTAGCTGTGTGATGTTTGCCCTGAGAACACAGCAAACCAAGGATATGGATCATGGGACCCAAGGTCACTCCCAGTTCCAGGCTACTGAGGAATGACGATGCACAGGGCAGCAGTGGGCTTCTCTGAACAGCGGCACTGGGAAGAAGAGCCACACCTCCCTTTACCCTGCTGCACGTGCAAGCCTTGTTAATGAAGCAGCTTCATGCTGTCATCTGGGTGGCTTTAATTTACACGGCCAGTACAGAAAACAACATTTAGCCTCAGAAGTGTTCACATTAATTTAAGAGTTTAAAACATGCAATTGTTTGCCAAATATGTATCTTGTCCTGTTCATGCTCTGCCCAATAAACAAGGCAGTAAGTGAAGTAAGAAAAATATTAGTACAAGAAAACATTCAGGAAAAAAACTAGATGGAAGAGGTCAACAAAGATTTTTTCAAAGTCTTACTTCATGATATGATGTAACCTTGGGTCTGTAAACTGGGTGGTTCGGTTATTATGGTCTACAAAATATATTCTCCCAGAAACTGTACTTCGGACTTCCCAACCTGGTGGCAGTGGTCCAAGTTCATCGCAGTTCACACTGTTAAGGTCTCTACCAAAATGGAAGATAAAGAAGGGTTTATCCAACTGAGTCCAGAGGAGTAAAATCAACCGTCCAGAGACAGGAGCCACAGGGGTCCCTATCAAGGTGTCTTGTGCCTGCTCTGCTGAGAGGGACAGTCTGGGTGCTACTTACACCAAACCCCACCAAGGCCAGGCCTCTGTGCTGCGAATGGCAGCAGTGCCTGATAGGTAACAATGGAGCTTCCTGAGCTGATACCATCCTAAGCATGGGCCTACTCTTGGGCTAGTGGTGAGCATTTGAATGCTGGGAGAGCTACCTGAACTAAACACTCAAGGTCAGAAAGATTTCTTTAGTGAATAGTTCCCAGAGGGGCCCACGCCCTCCAGGCAGAGAGGAACATGTCACATGGATGTGAAAACTTGCCACTCTGAACAGCTGCAGCAGCGGACACCTTTTCCTCTTCGAGCTGACTTCCATTAAACAAGTGTTTTCGCTTCCAGATTCTTGATTAATTACTTCAATATAGCATCACTGACCAGGATGCTTTCGTAATTATCACAAAACCTCGTCACTCTTACAGTGGGGACTACAGAGATACCTCATTCATCTGCAGGTAATATTTCTGTTCTAATTATACTGAATCATAGCTTCAATATAGATTTGGAAAATCCAACACAGAAAGCTTATTCTCAGGTGAAACAAATTATGAATAAAAAAGAAATGAGCATTACTAAAAATCTTATTAGGTAGTAATAGTATTCTAGAAAAAAAAAAAAGAAACTTAATTCTGTTGTGGGGCAGGGGAGTCTCTCTGACCTGGGCTAAGATGTATGGCCTTGTAGAAAGAATTCATACAGAAAAGCTTTGCGAGAGGGACAGTAAAGTCGAAGAGAGAAAGGGTGACAATGTCTTTATATTTCCTTTTTAACTTATTATTATGGAAGATTTTAAGCACATGAAAAAAGAGAGAGAGGCCACAATGAACTGCTCCATAGCCGACTCTGCTCATGGCCAACCCTATTTCAGATACAGCCCACTCACCCCCACCCCACTTATGGGAAGCAAACCCCAGACTCCGTCTCATGGCCCTCATCAGTAAGTACCTGCGGTTTAAACTGGGAGCAACACACCTGGAAGGGGCTAGTTTTCCACACCAAGTGCGGAGACCAGCTCTGAGGGTATTTAGAAACATACCTGGGTATCCTCGGGTCATGCCACGTGCTCACGCCAGTCTGTGTGTGCAGAAAGTAAACTTGTCCCTGTACTGTCGTTCTCTGCTCTGCACAAGAGATTAGGGAATACAGTTAGATATGCCCAGTGCCACGGGGAGTTTCAACCAGGCCTCTAGTGATCACTCCACAAATTCTAAGCCTCCTTTCAACACGAGCACTGCCGCCGCCGCCCTCAAGCGCCCGGACTGCACCCTCAGCACTAACATTCTGAGAGAAGGGCTGGCAAGAGCTGCCATGGCCCCACCTGGCTTCCTCAGGAACAGCCCTGCCTCCTGTGGGGTGGGCCTGGCACTCTCCTGTGCCTTCCCTGAGCTGGAAGCCGTGCCTCTGTGCGGGGTACCCCCTCAAGCCCTGTGCAGGGTTCCCCTCTGTCCTCCCCTGCCCTCACTGTGGGGTTATCTGTCCATCCAGTTACATTGCCCTCCACTCAACCCTTCTCTCTGCATTGAACAAGTGGCCCTTAGCTTGTGCCCTGGCCCCTTGCTATCTCTCCCACATTCAAGTGACAGACCACTGCAGCCTCCCTCACTACTTACCTGCCCATCACCTGGGTTCTCTTTGGTGTTAAAGTGCGTAAAATTAGTTTTTATATGATTTCTAAACTGAGAAGCTGGTGCAATTGCTGAGGATTCATGATTAGCCAGATTTGTCAGAAACTCCCAGGCACCTGGTCTTGACATAGCCATGTGGACACTAGCAGGGAAGGTGCTTTTAGTGACTACATGGCATTCACCAACCCAGAGCACCCTGAGACTGTGCCTCACCGTAGCCTTCAGGCAGCTCCGGTGACTGGTGGCCATGTGGCCGGTTCTGGGGCGTCTGCAGTGAACCTCGGACCTCGGAGTTCCGAAGTCGCTGTGCCTGCAGTCTCTGCTCTTGACTCGGGGACTCCACAAACCTGCAGTTGCCCCCACCTGCGGCAGCACCAGTGCCATCCGTGTAAGGGGCAGGCTCCTCCATGAAGCAGCTAAGCGGCCTCCCAGGGCCCGAGTCTTCATACACGGACCTGTGGGAGTGGGGTGATGACAGCTGGTGTAGGAGCCATAGGACATGCACTTGGAACTTCACACGCCTGCCCTCCCTGTGCAGCTGCTGCCTGTGTCCATTCCACTTTAATGACTGCAAGTTTTCAAATGTGTGGTTTTGTTTTTGTTTTTTGGTACCGGGGATCGAACTCGGGACCTTCCTTCCACTTGTGAGGCAGCCGGTAGAACCACTGACCTAAATCCCCAGCCCAAGTATGTGGTTTTTAAAAATTCATCTTGTGACAATTAAAGAGAGACTCTTTCAAGAGGAACAGGTGGCCCAAGGGAGCCACATTTTAGTGCTGTTCCAGGTATGTCAGGGCCAGGGCCACCCACACAGTGCCACTCTAGGTTAGAAGTGGAAGGCCCAACTGCGTACTACAAGGAGTACATGACATGTGATCTTATTTCTCTTGATTTAAAATCAAATCCGTTGTGCTTGCTATTTTACTCTATAGACTTCTGGTTACGTAACATGCCACAACTACAATAAGTACTTCTGAATATGAATCTTTATCACCTGAGCAAGTCTGAAGACAATTTATCTTACTGGCTGTTTTCTTTAATAAGCAAGCGCTCTTTCAAAACTTCTTACACTGGGAATTTCCTAATACGTTCACAGCTGAAGGGACCGGAGAAGGGCTCTGCCTTGCCTCCCCCTGCCCACCCCTCCTCCTCCACTGGGCTGTCCTGAAGCATTCCAGCATAAGGCTCTAACACACAAGGACTTCTTCTCATTGTCACAACTAAAAAAAGCATACGAATTTTGAAAAAAATCATCAAATATCAGAGTTCAAATTTCTCCAATTATCTCATAGATCAGGATACAAAGCCCACATGGTGCATTTAGTAAATTCAGTGTCTCTGTCTCTCAGGCCTATTTCATTATTTACAGTTTCTATTTCCTTCGTTTTATTTCTTGTAGTGTTTGAAGGCACAGGGCTGTCTGCCCTTAAAATGTCCTGTTTAGGATGTTGTTTACTCCATTCCCTTAGGGCAGGTCAACACACTCCTCCCTCCTCTGTATTGCCAAGATATAAGCCCACTAAGTTGCCCTGGCTGGGCTGGAACTTGTGATCCTCCTGCCTTCCAGTGCTGGGATTTACCTACCATACCTGGCTGTTAGCAATTATTGATCACTGCCTAAGTCGGCAGTGGGAGACTGCAAAATTTCAACAGAGACCAATGAGGTTTTGAAATTTTTTTCAAATTTTTATTAGTACGTGTTTGTAGTACATAATGATTACATTTTTCATGGGGAGGTTTTTAATTTTTTGTTCTATTTTTAGTGTTTTTGGGTTTTTAGCCCCTTAGTACGAACTCATGGATTTTAAATATATTCTATGGATGGAAATTGATAGATAAATAAATAAATGAATGAACTGTATGGATTTCAATTCACTGCACTTAAAATTCTTACTGATCCTCAAACTGTTCCTTGAGGCCTGTGGGAGCCTCCCTCAGTTGGGTCCTGAGTCTTTTATGCACAGCTTTATAAACAAGTAAAATGGAGCACATTTTATCCCAAAATGCCTAAGTGTACCTCAAGTGCCCAGCAGAGACAGGTAGATAGGAAGGTTACTGAGAGCCCAGAGCAACTGATTTTTGAGCACTGTGCCGGCAAAGCCACGGCCATACGTACCCTTCATTTTCCAACAGTTCTCTGCAGTCCACCACTGACCCTCCAGGGCCTATTCTGTCTCTTGTCTGTAAACTGACTAAAGTGGAAAAGAAGGGCTTGTGTTAAAATCCAGTGGTATTTTACACACTGCAGTAAAGTGACCTACTGAAATTGTATCATTTATGTATAGTATAAAAAAAGGCACCTGTAGACACACACCCCCATCCTTTCAATGTGAAGCATCTCACTTCAGTAGCTATATACACCACATACCCCTTAGAACACTCTGTGAAAATGTGGCACAGAAAAGGGGCTGTGTTTCTTATGCTCCTCATAAAGTAACACAATGAAACAGGACAGTCAGGTTTGGGGGGGGGGGTCTTGTTATTGTTTATTTGTTTGGAGGCAAAGTCTCCCTAAGTTGCCCAGGTAGGACTCAAACTTGAGATCCTCTGGTCTCAGCCTTCCAATATGCTGGCATTATAGGCAAGCATGACCACACCTAGCTAATGTTCAGTTCTTTTATGTTACCTTACTATTTTTTTTTCCAGTACCAGAAATTGAACTCAGGACCTTGCACTTGCCAGGCAGGCATGGCGCCACTGAGGAAAATTCACAGCCCCTAAGTTACCTTATTTCTTAGTAAGATTGTGACTTATGTTTAATAACGACACAGGGCACTTTCAATATTGGCAAAGTCTAGGCCAATCTAAATATTAATGCTCTAGCATGACTATGAACAACAAAGACATTTGTAAAGTTGTTTTCATTTGGTTTTTGCCCTGGCACATCCCTCCACAAAGAAAAGAAAAAGTTACAAAGGGAAGAGCAGCAAGAGCTTTTTGGTTATGTCGTCTCCAGGACATACATGCACTGTCACCTGCCTTGGGTCAAGTCCACCTAAGCAATCTGAGTCAGGAAACACCTTCTCTGTGCTCTATGACACCGTTTCCACTGATTCCTTGCAATGCATACAGTCAACATTTGTGTTACCCTAAAATACTGATAAAGAATGGGGTGGATAATAGGATGAGTAACTTAACCCGTACATCACTCACAATGCCTCCAGACAGCACCATGCAATAGCAGCATTTTTAACTTTTCACTCTTCATAATATAATCCTCTGAGTCTATAAATGTTATGATTTGTATTTAGATGTCCCCTCAAAGCCTCCTGTGGTCATAGGTGCGGCTTTTCAGGTGTGACTGGATCTATGGTGTGTGATTGATTCACGGTGCAATGCTAGGATTAAAGGTGAGGGCAGACAGCCTGGAAACAAGATAAGGGACAAAAGGAAGCTTGCAGTGAGCTACTTGTAGTTTCGTCATTTGCTTGCTTTGCTACCTTCTGCCCGCCATGTTTGTTCTCTGTGATGCCCCTTGCCATGCCACCCTGCCTTGGCATCAGCTGATAATGGACTGAAACCTCTACAAAATGTGAGCTAAATATACCTTTCCTCCCTTATCTTGTGAGTGTTGGATATTTTGTGTCAGGAATGAGTAAAGTAACTAACACAATGAACTACATTATATGGAATTCATCAGAAATCTTTACTTTTTACATATACAAGAGGGCTTCCCAAAGAAAGTGTGCCCAAGTGCTTGCATATGTGGCTATCATCATTATCTACCCTTGGGTAATACAGTAACAAATTAACTGTCCATTCGTGTGATGATTAAAATGACAGTGAAAATCATAGCCCTAAGTCTTTCTGTACCAGAGTCGTATCAATTCAACTTTAAATGTTAGGATGAGGGAAACGAGGTAAAATAATAAAAACTACACATAAGAAACCATTTCAGTGAAGAGATGACTCAAACGTGTCTGTCCTTTGAAGTATGTCATGCTCACTGACCACATATGTTCCCATATGCTCTTTAAAAGCATCCTTTAGGGCTGGGGATTTAGCTCAGTGGCACCCTGCCTGTCTCCCAAGCATAAGATCCTAAGTTCGATCCCTGGTACCGCAAAATAAATAAATAATTTTTAAAAAGCATCCTTTACATACATGAGAAAGTTCTTACCTACTATTTGGCCACGAACCGCATCAGTATCTGAGGGATTTAGTTTGCATAGATCCAAACGCTGGTCTGCAAACAAACAATTCAAAACTTAACCCAAGGAAGGCAAACTAGGGAGAAAGGCAGGAATTCTGTATTCAGCATTCAAAAAAAAAGGGGGTGCCTCCTAAGCTTTCTTCAGTTGCATTAAGAGGCAGAGGAGCATTTGGTTCTTACAGCCAGTGTCTTTCAGCCGGCTGATGGCGTTGGAGAGCAGCCGCACGCAGCCCAGGAAGCCAGCTCCCTGCTTTTTGTGAATTTTCTTGTGGTTCCACACGCTGATGGTTATAGAATCAGTTTTCCCAACATATCTGAAAGGAACAAGAAAATTCTTGTTTAACTGTGCTTCTGAATTAGGATAATCTCATTATAGTCTCATTTATCAGACTGACTTAGGAATCCCTACAAAATAACATTGGCTCAGTATCCCACATGGAACAGCCAATCAATTAGCACACTCCTAATAACTAATAGGCTGTGGGAAAGGACTACAACCAGGTAAACAGGGAGCACATGGAAACAGCCACATAATAAAAGAGCTAAGGCTTAGTGTATTCTAACACTCCACAGGACAGTGATACATGCATACATCCCCACCAATAAGGTTTAACAATAAAGAATGCTAGCTTGCAATAAGGGGCTCCATGTGAATCCACAGATCCATCCAAAGCACTTAGAAGTACACTCACTAAGACATCAGACCCCTCCCTCTCACTGTAAGTGAGTCACAGTGAAGGACTTCAGAACAAGAAATGACTGCCACTTTCACAGCCATCTCTGGCCCCTCAGTGAAACTGAAACTAAATTGTAGAATATAGCTACTACTAAAGATCCCACTATGCTTGTTCATAGTATAATTTGTTTTAATAAAAAAACCAATAATCATACAGTATTACTTTGATGGAAATTTCTTAGCAGGGACATGAAAACACAAGGGCATATAAAAAAGTAAGTAATTTATGGGCTTATATATGTTCAATCCTATGAAACTATATTTTCTCCTGCAGAAAAAAAAAGTACTAAAAGCAAGTTTTAAAAAATCAACAGAAATACGTGGTCATCATAATTCATTTTTCAGGTAAAAACTACGACTGGGCTTAGGGTTTTACTGAAAAACAGAAGTATGTTGGGAACATGAACTATAGCCTCATAGCCTTTTTCTCTGCTAAAATACCCAGAGGATTGAAAAGTCTCAAAGTTACACAAGAAAACCATGAAAATCTATGAAAATACCAAATGTAAGAATTTTCAAGTACATAAGCTATATAATGAGGCATTATGTATTTCTTTGGCCATCAACTTTTGTTATCAATCAAAAGCTAGCAATTCTTTTCTTTCTTTCTTTCGTTTTTGGCACTGGGGATGATCAAGCTCAGGACCTTCGCTTGTGAGACAGGCGCAATTCATTTCTTTCTTAAACGCTTCTTCTGAAAGCCAGAATACCTACTCTCCCACCCTCCCCATACGGCTCACAGGACATCAACTCACAGATCATAGTGCTGATTCCACTTTGGGTCCAATGTATTTTTCACAGTGTCGGTTGAGTGGCACTGCCCAGAGCCGTCCACCACAATCTTAGCAAAGGGGTCAGGGAGTCCTAGGAGAGAGAAGATAGCCACACCCAGGTAAGCCCACAGGACAGTCAAGGAGACACACACCACTTCCAGGATGGAGGGGGCTGCAAGATCATCTGACATGATAAAGAAGAGTCCCTGGGATATTTTGTTCACTGCTTTAAGGTTAGTTTTATTTGGAAAAGCAAGTTAACACTGTTCAGCATTTTTTTCCCTTTAGTATTAGAAATGACCCAGAACCTTCACACTGAGCTACATCTTCTTCTTCTTTGAGACAGGGTCTCACTAAGTTGCATAAACCTGCTTCAGCTAGGACCTATTACAAGAGGTGTGCCATCACTCCTGGCCACTGACTATTTAGTTCTCTAAGAGAGATCCCCAGTATGCCTCTAGTCCAATTTTTTATTTTTATTAAAAAAAAAATAGGCTTACATTCAAATTTCTGTCTGTGATTGTTTTGTTTTGTTTTGTTGGTACTGGGGATTGAACTCAGGACCTTGTGCTTTCGAAGCAGGAGGCGGAATCACTGAGCTAAATCCCCAGCCCTGTCTGTGATTATTATACTAAGTGGGGACAATTAAAGGAAGAAAAAGGTGACTGTAATTAGCTGTATTTATACTTTTGAAAAAATAACAGTCCTAGCAATCTGCCAGGCATGGTGGCATACACCTGTAGTCCCAGCGCTCTGGGAGTCCGAGGCAGGAGGCTCACAAGTTCAAGCCTCAAGACAAATAAAAAATAAAAGGGACTGGGACATAGCTCAGTGCAAAGGCCTTGAGTTCACTCAGACAGACAAAAAGAAAGGAGTTTCCAGAAATCTTGTTTGCTGATCTCTGCCTTCTTAAATACAGAAGCAAGTATTCACCAAGTCTTAATTTATTAAGTCCTTAAATGGTAGTATGAATCAGACAGGGGGGCACGATGTGAAGGTTTTACAGACAGAGCTGGATGTGAGCCGCCTCTCCAGAGCTTCCCAGGTGCTTGGATAAAGCGTTTAGGCCTAAGTTTCTTGTCTTTAAGGTGTTAATAATACCACTTAAGAGTTGAGCAGTGATCGTGGGAGGGGCAGAAAGTGTGAAGAATTTAATACTGTGGCATCTTTTTTATACCAGGTGAAGATCTTACATTAAGAAGCAACTCTTTCCTTCAGAAAAGGACTGTCTATTTACAATTCCTCTAATTAGAGAGCTTTTAAGATGTGATGTAATTTATAAAATTTGATCAGCAAGTTTTTTCAAACCAGCTATTTTATAGAAAAATGTTTCATTTATATTTGTGTTGAGAATACTTTAACCAGCAAAAAGCAGTGCCCTGTAATGGGCGGGGGACAGAGAAGACCGGGGTGCGGCTGAAGAGGAAAATGAGAGATAAGTCTGATAGGGTTTTCAAATTCTGTGTCTTTTAACTGGAAAGCCTCGATGCTGGGAAATGAGGTTTGTCCAACCATGGATTTTTTGTTTTTGTACCAGCGATCAAACTCAGGACCTTGCGTTTGCAAAACAGGCACGGTGCCGATGAGCTAAATCCCCAGCCCCCAACCGTGGATTTCTATTCCAAGACTTTCAGGAAAATACACCAGCGTTCTCCCCGCCTCCCCCCGCCCCAAGTACCAAGGATCACACTCAGGACAGGCAGGCACAGCACCCCTGAGCTAAAGCCCTGGCCCTTAGACCAGTGTTCTTTAGGAAGCTTAACATTTCAGAAATACACAAATAACCTTAATAGAGCAAAAATGGTTGTTTACTTACTGAAGAAGTCTTTCTTTGCAAGATTCTTGGCACATAATACTAAAAACAAACAAAAATATTAGGGTTAGTACTTATGGACAAGATTTCCAACACAGCTAGCCTGTACTTGCAATGGAAAAAAAAATTCCAAAAATTATCTTTGCCAATGAGTTGTCTTTCAAATTTAGTATCATACTAAAAAAACCACAAAAATTAACATCTGTGTAAAAAATGTTTTCTCCACAAAATGGGAGTCAATTACAACTCCAAAATCCTTCAAACTTAAAATCTTATTTAAACACAGAGGCAGATTTATCAATATGCTCTTACACTACACATGATCATATAAAACCAAATTCAAATGAAGATTTGAGCTATTTACCTTTATAGCAACTAATAGCAAGCGAAAGAGCTAATTTTTGCTAACCTAATAATAAACACAAAGTGCCAGGGCCTTGCACATGCTAAGTGGGAACTCTATCACTAAGCTACACCCCAGGCAATAACACAGTTTTGTAAATGCAAACTTTGGAATGTTAGAAAACAGAAAACAAGGGGAAAGCAGTAGAAAACATGAGCCGTTTTCAGGGAACTGTGCAAGAAAGATGACACAGTGTGTGTTAAAACCCAGCACAAGCTGTGGCATGGTGGCACACGCCTGTAACCTCAGCACTCTGAGGGCAAGGCTTGAGGCCAGCCTCGGCAGCTTAGACTCTATCTCAAAATATTGTTTTTTGGTACCGGGGATCAAACTCGGGTCCTCGCGCTTGCGCAGCAGGCAGCGAAACCACTGAGCTAAATCCCCACCCTCAAAATATTAAAAGAGGGTCGGGCCAATGACAGAGCTCAGTGCGAAGGCACAGGTTCAATCCCCAGTACCACCAAATTAAAATAAAACAAAATAAAATAAAATGTTGTCACTAGAACTGCTTTATACAATTAAAATTTACTATGCCAAGGGAAGATATCCAATGTACTTCCCTCTTTTACACTACCTCACAAATTTATCTAATTTGTAAGAATGTTATAAATATTATTTTGCAAAAATGGGTTCATATAACATACACTGTTTCTACAAACTTTCCACTTTGTTTTTACATAACAGCTTTTAGATATAATTTATATACCATACAATTCACCCATTTAAAGTATGTAATTTAATGTTTTTTAGTGTACTTGTGAGGTTGAACAATTATTACCACAATCAATTTTAAAACACTGTCATCATCCCCAAAAGAAGTACTTCACCCATCAGCTCCTCATTTAACCTCCAACTCTCCAGGCCTGGGCATCTGTTCTGAGCATTTCCTATGAATGGATCATATGCTGTGTGGTCTTTTCTGACTGGCCCCTTTCACTAAGCATAGTGCTCTCAAAGCTCACCCGCCCACTTTGTCACAGGCATTAGAGCGCCACTCCTTTTATGATGGCGTGATCCATGGTATGGCTACACCACATTCTCTTTTCCCATTCAACAGCAGATGGAGATTGAGTTGTTTTTACTTCTTTGCTATTATAAATAATCCTGTACAAGTTGTTTTGGAGACATATGTTTCATTTCTCTTCATTAAAACTTGTGTATGAAATTGCTTGGGGTGGGGGCACCATAAGGTAACTGAATGGGCATTTTGAGAACTTTTCGGGCTATCTCGCACAGCTAAGCACCACTCCTGAGGTAAGCACCATCCCCACCACGTGAGGATGAGGGTGCCAGCTGCCCCTCCTCACTCGCCCTTGTTACTGTCCCTGAGGTTTTGATTTGTAACCCCCCCCCACACACACACACTGGGAATCGAACTCAGGACCTTGTGCTTCCCAGGCAGACATTGTACCACTGAACTACCTCCCCTGCCCCTGGATTTGCGATTCTTTCATGACTTAATAGTTTGTTGTTTCAGTTTGGTTTGGTTTTGGGAGTTTTTTCCCTGATCTTTTCTCAACTTCAAATTCAGTTGTCTTTTTGTTACTGAGTTGTGAGAATTCTTTATACTATATAGTATACTAAAACCCTTTATCAAATACATTATTTTATCCCACTCTGTGTGTTGTCTACTTTCTTAATGGTGTCCTTCAAAGCACCAAAGTTTTAATTTTGATTAAGTCCAACTTATTTACTTCCTTTGGCTCCTTGTGCTTTTGGTGTCATGTCTAAGGCAGCTTTACAGAACATTTTCTTCTAAGCGCTTAACAGTACAGAAGTACACAATTACTGATAATAGCTAAAAAGTAGAAATAGTTCAGATGCCCATCAGCTGATGAATGGACTCTTTCCTTAGCTCTTAAACATGTATTTACGTCTATGATCCATTTTGAGTTGGTTTTGTTTGCAATACTGAGAAACTAAACCTGGGCCTCAAGCAGGCTAGGCAAGGACTCTACCACTGAGTTACATCTCTAAGTCCATTTTTCAATTATATGAATATAATATAATTGTCTGAAGACACGGTCTAGCTAAGTTGCCCAGGCTGGATAGGAATTTAGGATTCTCTAGCGTCAGCCTCCAAGTAGCTGCTAGCATTTGTTACTGGGTTTTTTTTGTTTGTTTGCCTGTTTACTTGTTTTATGTAGCTATTCTTTCTGGAGTAAAATAGAATCTCAATCATGTTTTAATTTGCATTTCTCTGATAGCCAGAGAAGTTGAACCTTTTTTCATGTATTTACTAACCATTTGTACTTCTTCTGAAAAGTGTCTATTCATTTCACCTGTCCATTTTTTGATCAGATCTTTTATTTTGGGGGACTCTGGTTTTCCTGAGTTCTTTATATATTCTAGATATTAGTCCTCTATCTGAGGAAGAACAGACAAAATTTTTTTTCATTCTGTAGGTCATCTCTTCACTCTGTTGGTTGTTTCCTTCGCTATGCAGAAGCTTTTTTATTTTATATAATCTCATTTGTTGATTCTCGACTTATTTCTTGTGCAACTAGGGTTCTGTTTGAAAGGTCCTTGCCTATGCCTTCAAGAGTTTTACCTATTTTACCTTCCAGCAATTGTTTTAATAGTTAAATCTTTGAGCCATTTTTATTTTAGTTTAGTACACAGCGAGAGGTATGGGTCTAGATTCACTCTTCTGTACATGTACAGTACAGCTAGTCCTTCTCAGCAGTATTTGTTAGAGGCTTTCTTCCAATGTATGTTTGTGGCCCCTTTGTCAAAGATCAGATGGTTGAGGCTGTTCCTGTATGCTCTATTCTGTTCCACTGATCCACATGTCTGTTTTTGTGCCAGTACCATGCTGTTTTTACCACTACAGATTTGTAAGATACCTTCAAGTCCAGGATTGTGATGCCTCCTGTTTTGCTCTTGTTAACAAGGATTGCTTTTGCTATTCTAGGTCTTTTCTAGTTCCATACTAATTTTAAGATTGCTTTCTCTAGCTCTGTGAGGAATGCTGTTGGTATTTTGCTTGGTATTACATTAAATCTGTATATCAGCTGTAGATTGTATCATGGCCACTTTGATAATGTTGAGTCTGCCTATCCATGAAAAGGAGATTATCTTTCCATTTTCTTTCTTTTTTTTTTTTTTGTATCAGGGATTGAACTCAGGTCCTTGAGCTTGCGAGGCAGGCAGCAGAACCACTGAGCTAAATCCCCGGCCCTCCATTTTCTGATGTCCTCTTAGATCTCTTTTTTCACAGCACTGTTAATTTTTATTATAGGGGTCTTTTGCTTCCTTTGATAGCTTAATTAATATTTAATTTTTCTTGGAGCTATTATGAATGGTATTATTTTCCTAAGTTCTTTCTTGGTGGGTTCATCATTGGTATACAAACACTACTCATTTTTGTGTGTTGATTTTGTATCCTGCTGCACTGCTGACTTTCTTTATTCTATGAGCCTTTTGGTGGAATTTTTTAGGACTTCTACAAAAACAATCATGTTATGTGTGAATAAGAACAATTTGCTTTCTTCTTTTTGTGTATATATCCCTTTCATTTTTTTTCTCTTGCCTGACTGCTTGGCTAAAGTGCAGAATAATATATTGAACAAGAGTGGTAACAGTGTATGTCCTTGTCTTGTTCCTGATTTTTGAGGAAAAGCTTTCAGTTTTCCCCATTTAATATGATGTACTAGACAAAAAATCAACAAAGAATTATCAGAATTGAATCACACCTTCAAACAAATGGACTTAATAGATATTTATAGTGTTCCACCCAACAATAACATCTAATTTTTCAGCAACGCACGAAAGTTTCTCCAAAAATAGACCACACACTAGCCAATAAAGCATAAATACATACATGAGAATCAAAATTATCCTATGCTTATTATCAGATCATAATGCAATGAAATCAGAAATCAATAGCAAAGGAAACCACAGAAATTATACAGACACATGGAGATTAAACAATATACTCTTGAATAATCAGTGGGTCACAGAAGAAATCGAGGAAGAAATTAGTTCCTAGAATCAAACAATAATGCCAGTACAATATACCAGAACTTATGGGACACAATGAGAGTAGACCCAGAAGAGACGTTTATAGCTGTAACCACATCAGAAAAACAGTGAGCCCAAATAACCTAATAATGTACCTCAAAGTCCTACAAAAACAAGAACAATCCAAATCTAAAACTAGTATAAGAAAGGAAATTATAAAGATTAGAGTAGAAATTGTTGAAAGTGAGACTAAAAAAAAACAATATAAAGAATCAATGAATCAGAAAGCTGGTTCTTTGAAGAAAAAAAAAATAGACAAACCCTTAGCCAAACTTACCAAAAAAAGGAAAGAAAAGACCCAAACCAATGCAATTAGAAATGAAAAAAGGCAAAAACACAATGGATACTGCTGAAATCCAGATTAAGTAACTACTTCAAAAACCAGTACTCCGATAAACTGGAGAATCCAGAAGAAATGGACACATTAATAGATAATCTAATAACAGGCAATGAAATTGAGGCAGTAATTAAAAAATCTTACCAACTAAGAAAAGCCCAGGACTGGCTGAATTCACCACTGAATTCTATAAGAACTTCAGGGAAGACCTAACACTAATACTTCTCAAACTCTTTAATCAAATCGAAAGGGAAGGAGTACTACACCAAACTCATCCAT